AAAGTCATCAAAAAAAATTGAAAAAAAGATATGTTATGGAAAAAAATACATTAAACAAGATTTTCCTGAGCATTACATCCGAATTTCTTACCAAATTTGAAATAAAATACGAAAAATAAATACTAATAAAACAAAATAAAAAAAATTAAATTTAGTAAGTGCGCGAACATATTTTCGACACCGCCATCTTTGGCGATTTTTTTTTTTTTTTTTGGCATAGCTTAATACCTTGAAAATTTATAGATGTGTACTTCACATAATACAAAACCCACTAAAAAAAAATTAAAAAATAATAAAATTATTTAGACCCCGAACTAAAGTGAAAACATAAAGTAAAAAGTGAACAAATATGTGGGCGAGCAAGTTTTGACACCGCCATCTTTGACGATTTTTAATTCTTATTTGGCTTAGCCAAATGACTTGAAACTTAACAGGCATGTACCTCGTGTCATAGAGAACTCAAAATAATTATTTTTAGGCCTCGAAATAATTTTTGGCGAAGGCCGAACGTCGTCGGGTTCGGACCCCGTACGGGACCCCGAACACCCGTACGTACGGAGGTCTGGTCGGGGACCTCCGTACGTACGGGCTGGTGACCCTGACTACGACTATTACAGTAAGGTGAAAAATTTTGATTTGATCGAAAGGTAATGATACCTAGTATAGATAAGAGAATCGAATAATTAATAGTTTTACAAAGTTAGAAAATGAGACTATAGTCGTTTAGCTAAATGTATATCATAAATGTTTGAAATAAGGAAAAACAAGTCAAAATACATCAAAAGAGTTAGGTTTGAATTGCATAATATAGTGCATAGTGACGTTAATAGTAATAAAAAATAAACCCCCTTTGAATGAACTAAAGGCGATAACATATATAACAAAGTTTGAAATTAAACTCGAGAGATTAAATAAAATGATAAAATTAAGCAGAAAGTTTATAAAATGTGTCATAATTTAACGAAAGATGATTAATGTATCATTTAAATAGTTATTTATCATTAAAGGAATAATTAAAAAGTCTTTGGGAGCAAATAAAAATTATATCACACATAAGTGAGTCTCCCTGCTATGATTATAATTTTATTTGATGGTTTTAACTTTTAAGTGCTACATGGTTGTGACTTTGAGGAATGATATAAGTTAAACTTTAATGTAATAGGTGTGAAAAAACCCTATTGGGATATAAAACATCAATTGTAGGTTGTTCAAAATCTTAGAAGTGGTTTTGCGATCACAAAAAGTTAATAGAATAAAAAATAAATATGAAGGGGAAGTAATAAGTTGCAAGTTGTTTATTGTGTGTAAAACGTAAGGGATTACCTTTTTTTTTTGGGGGGGGGGGAAGGTTGGGAAGGAAGGGGAGGGGTTGAGAGAAAAAGAGGGGAGAAGGAGGGGTGTCTTTGGACCAAGACACTCGATTCAAAATTATGGTCACATAAGGCAAACAAAGAGGAGGATCGAGAATGCAATTATAAAAAGGAGTCTGGACTCCAGTCGGCCGGATTGAATTAATGGTAGATCATTTTAGGCCAGTGAATTAGGATAAAAGATAAATTAGGCCAACCAATAGGTAAAGTTTATTAGATGGGAAGTAGGATAAAAAAAAAAGGTAAAAGTTAAAATTTTGATTAATTTTTAATATTGCCAGACGATGATTTAAACGACCAACACTTTTCCCACACATTTTTTTGTAACACTGTGCTGCTAAAGCCGTGTCTCGAAATGCACTGGTTAACGAATTTCTTAAAAATATATCCAAGCAAAACAGGCCATGCACGCAAAGTGGTTTGCCTAGATGTTTATGTTGCCAACCACCAAGTCCGTACATCCCATGCCGAAGAGAAATGGTTGGGAATATAGGTTCACCTCACCACTGTCGAAAGTGTAATTTTCGATCGTTTTTTATCACTAGACAAACTTTTGAAAACGAAGTCCCAAATAAAATTTGCTAATTGTCAGAGAAAGCTTTTTGACACCTCCTTTTGAAAGTGGTTCCATCCCCNGAAGTCCCAAATAAAATTTGCTAATTGTCAGAGAAAGCTTTTTGACACCTCCTTTTGAAAGTGGTTCCATCCCCAACCTGCGACTTCGACGTTTTCAACAGTCCCCCGCTCCGCTATCGAGTTCTCATCGGAATTTGGTGAATGTGCCTGAGGTTGGGCGTTTAACGGTTGTCCCATCCTCAAGCGCGTTTGTTTGTTTCCAGCTTGCATTCATGAGTTTGTGCATTCGACAATGCTGTGTGGCTAAGAGGGGAGAAACTGTCGAAGCGGCGACTGTTGAATTTGTTCTGACAACTTACTATTTCAATAATGGTGTGGTGAGCCAGGAAGTACAGGTGGTAATGCTCTGGGGGCATACCCAAACTAGGACCTTTTCTTATTTATGGACCTAAATGCGGCCAGATGAACCCAGGTACGGCCATAAATGTAGTCAGACACATATAAGATATAGGTGGTGGTGAGAACCCCCTTATTACCGCACCCAGGAAGAATGTGGGGTTCCCGGTTCAATTGAATGTAGTATAGTACTTGAATTGGGCTTGTCCGACGTGGGGGCGCATTCTTTTCCATGCTTGGCGGTGATAAGCAAGTGGAGTGTTGCGCCTCAAAATAGATGGGATTCATCGCGGATGATGGGGATTATTTGCGACCCTATGGCAGGATAGCACCACCGTATTCCGTTTTGTACCTCTGGAAATCGGTCCCGCGCTCGTCACACAAGCTTGAACGCAGTCCAACCCCATGGCTAGACTGGGATCTCCGTCCTGGCGTTTGACATCGAACGCGGGGGTGCAGAACGCGCCAGCGTTGTCCGTCCGGAATCCATCGCGGGCCCCGAGCAACCAGCAGAGGCCTTCTGGTTGATCTCTTATGTTTTTCCCCCCTCCCGCGTGTGTGCGACGCTGCGGGGCTGGCCGCAGTACTTCGTCGCTTGTCTGCTTTGTTGCGTGCTTCTCGGCTTGGTTCTGCTGAGGGGGCACAGTTGGTGCACCATGGCGGATGATAGACCGGTGAGCCCGTCACTGGATCTGATCGTATCATCTTCGGGATTTACGGATCTGGGAGGGGTGGGTGGGGTCGGAGTGGGAGGAGGAGGAGTAGCAGCAAGCGGAAGGGATGGAGGGACGCCAGGTGGAGCTGGGCCGGTGGCGGGGGGGGGAGGAGTTGTCCAGTCACCAGCAGCATCAGCAGGAGGAGGAGGAGGAGCAGGAGGAGGAGGAGTTGCGCCAAATGCGATGGGAGGGGATGTATCTGGGGGCGGAAGGGGGGTAGGTGGAGGCGGAGGCGGGGGAATCCGCCGATCAATCGGAGCGTTAATGGTGAAAGCGCTGTGCATCGTTGGCGGCGCCCTGGTGTTGCGCAAGTTGACTAAACGACAACACAAGTGGGACCACGTCAAAAGTGTTGCCCAAGCTCTTTGCGGGGAAAAGTTCTCGAGCGACCAGGCTGCCAGGGATCCGTTGACCTATTTCAATCTTCGGCTGACCACTTGTCCCGCTTTGACTTTGGCTGATGGCACCAGGGTACTCTACTTCGAACAGGCGTTCTGGCGGACGCCAGAGCGGCCCTATCGCCAGCGTTTCTATGTGTTGAAGCCATGTACGGCGGAGGAGAAGTGCGATGTACGGCTAGACACGTGTGCCGTTAGGGATATCGACGAGTACAAGAATTTCTGCGATCGGTCAGCGACGGACAGACCTTCGCCGCCTGAGATTAGACAGGACGTGGCGGAACATCTGATGTCGGTCTACTTGTCCAAATGTGAGCGGCACCGAAACTGTCTTTATGAAGGGGCAACGCCGCCGACTGGTTTTCCCAACAACTGGGGAGGAGCGAGCAAGTGTACCTCGGAGTTGACGATAATGAAGAATGGAGAGATTCATTGCTGGGACCGGGCGTACGACGAGAAGGGAGAGCAGGTGTGGGGGGTACGGACAGGGCCGTACGTTTTCAAACCCAAGAGCTCACAGCCGCCGGCAGTGCCACGTGTTGAGCCGGCAGGAAACAACGCTAAGAAGCCAGACGATAAGGGTGCTGCGTCAGCGACTGCCGGAGTGCCATCCTCGGCGGGAGAGTCTGCCTCCTCCTCCTCCTCCTCCTCCTCCCTTGCTCCTCCTCTCTGATTGGACATCGACTTGATGTTCTTCCTGAGTCCTTCGAGTGTTTGTGTAAATCCGCCGCGGTCAATTGCCCGTCTTCCCTTCTTTGATACGGTTAGTTTATACATTGCCGACCCGTCCGTCGCCTGTCAGTTAGCGCACACTCCGACGGCTGTATAGTTCCTACAGTTATTGCTTTTCCTCCTTCCTCCTCATGTCCTCCATCGTTCAATCTTGTCAGATCGCTCCAATCGAATACATTTTTTTTGGACAAGGCCATCATCCTGTTGTTGCTGCCATGTTAATCTCGTCCGTGCGTTTCGGTGCAAGATAGCATTTGATTGGCGGATCCAGTCGTGTAAAAAAAAAGCGTTTAACAGTGTCTGGCTGGAGCAGAGTTCGCAGAGGCACAAAAATGACGAAAATGACATGGCAGTGTCCAGGACGACGTAATGGAATGCGGACTTCGTTCCAAATGAGGAACGAAAAAGGAACAGCTGCAGCATCAGGAGCTGCAGCGGGAGGAGCAGGAGGAGGATTAAGGGGATGAAAGGGAGAAAAAGGAAAAATGAAGAGGAGGAAAAGGAGGAGCATAAGGAGGAAGAAGAAAAAGAGGAGAAAAAGGAGGAAAAAGAGGAGGAAAAGGAGGGAAAAGGAGGAGAGAGCAGTGACGAGGAAGAGGAAGATGCGGTGAAGTAGGGAAAGAGGCACGCTAAAAGGGAGAGGGAAAGAAAAGAGGAGAGGGTATTACGCCGTCCGTCTTCTCTCGTTTTAGGCCTGCGTCACAGATCAAGATGTCAAAACCCGTTAGAGTTACATTGTCAGAGTTCTATGTTTCCCGCCCTCGCCCTCGTCGCGCCCCGGCACACCAAACCTCCCCCCCGCCCCCCCCCGCCCCCCCTCTTGGTTAATACAGGCCACCTTCTGGTTAGAGTCGACCATGAGCGTGATGACGGTGAGAGATGGAGCGGAGGTGTGCATCGATGAGGAGGTTGGTTTTTCCATTTTTCGCGTTTTCCCGCCTTTTGTTTTCCCCTGATTGTTGTGTATTTGTTCATTTTTCTTGTGAAGAGGGGTGGTAGAGGTAAGCCAATAAATCTTTAGTCTGTCGTTTTAGATTTCTTAATATGAAATGAAAGGAGAAGGGGACGTAGAGCAACTTTCTTGTTTTCCACTGACCTTTTTTTTGGGGGGGTACTGTAATAAAATCTTTTTTCCTTCTTCTAATGGATCTGCGATGAGGTGGAATGTATTCCACTTTGCAAATCTGGAATTTTACTCGTCATCGGAGAGACTCCGAGTCATTAACCTTTTTTTTTTTTTTTTTTTTTTTTTGGTTCTGATTGTGGGACAATTTGTGGGTTCTCCTTTCTGCCTGTCGCCACCTGCTTTCGTTCCATATAAATCTCCGAGCTCGATGATGGGTGAACTCTCCCCTACACTATATCCATATTGTTTGTTTTTTTCTTGTTGTTTTTTTTTTTTTTTACATCGACATTCTTTTTCTTCAGGCTGGTTGGTTTTATGCAAGATTCGATTTTCCTTCGGACAGTTTGTTCGGTGAAATCATCTGCGTAGGACGTCGTAGTTTACCGAGAAATGGAAAGAGAGAAATGGGGGAGGGAGGAGGTGGGGAGGGAGGAGGTGGTTGACGTTGTGAAATCATCCAGGAGTGCACAAAAACCAACGTGCTGACGTCCTGACGTTTCCGCGACTTCGTTCATATATATAAAATATATATCCATGTGACGATATATCTAGAGAGAGAGAGAGAGAGAGAGAGAGAGAGAGAGGTTTGAGGGGTGAATTTTCCTCTTTTGTTTTCGGAATCAAGGAAAGGCATGTGGCTCCCGCTGTTTTTTCCTGCTCTTGTTGTGGTTCTCTACGTCGGTCTTTTCCTCTCCCCGGTTGCTGCCAGTGATTGGTTGGCAGAAAATTACTTTATCTTTTATTACTTTATCTTTTATTACTTTATCTTTTATTACTTTATCTTTTATTACTTTATCTTTTATCTCCCCGGTTACTACACAGAAAACGAATACAGTAATAAAAGATAAAGTAATTTTCTGCCAACCAATCACTGGCAGAATCGTTAACGGTGTGAGGGGAGGCCTACAGGGGTTGTTGACGTCAATGCAACTGTTTTTTGGAAGCGAGTAGCTTTCAGCATTGCTTTCCTGATTCGTCCTCTAATCCCGATCTGACTATCTGCCTGGCTGTCTGTCTGTCTGCCTGTCTCTCTCTCTCTCTCTCTCTCTCTCTCTCTGTGTGTCTGTCTCTCTCTTCCCCTACGCTCCTGCGCATCTACCGTCTCCTTTCTCCCTTTCTCATTCCTTTGTCCTCCATGTACTCAGGCTGGGATCTCTATGCCGTCTCGTCGGTGATCCTCTCTCTCTCAATCACCTCTCTCCGTCTGTCCACGTGTCGTCATCTCCATCGGCAACCAATCAAAAGATTGAAATGCGCTCTTTGGGCAAGCAGTGATTTTTTTTTTGGTCGTTCTTTGTCCCTTCTCCTCTTCAGAAAGAATTACCGGTAAGCCCCTGTCAGAACTCGCAAAGACCCGTATGTCCCTACTTTAAAAGGTGATGTACCTGGACATCCAGGACCTTGAAGACGTTTGAATGCACCGGGCGTGCTGCTCGTCTTCGTATATTGTGACAGAGGCATCCTGACCATCGCAGTACCAACGGGACCTACGTAGGGAGTTTCTATCTCTCTTAATCAAAGGTTTAATAATTGTATAAAAAGAACAAGCTTTGACGGCACCGTAGTGTTGTTGTTGTTTTTTTTTTTTTTTTTTTTTTTTTTTTTTTTTTTTTCAACTCAGTCCAGTTTTGAGCCTAATGGCCCACAATTGGTGACGTCTCTGCACTCTTCGTTCAGCATCCATCTAATTACCAGCAACGGCTGTCGCCACGGAGGGTGTGAGGTGCCTTTTCGGGTTCTGGGAGGTTGGAGAGGTAAAGAGGGGTGGGGGGTGGGGAGGGAGATGTGGACGTGGGGGGTGGAGGTGGAAAGCGGTGGGGAATGGGGGTGGAGGTGGGAAGGGAGATGTGGAGGGTGCACACAGGTTGTGCATTCTCATTTTCTGCATCTTCTGTTTTTTTTTTTATTCACTTCTTTTCTTTTTTTTGTTCAATTTTAATCGTTCCGTGCACCAGCCGTTGTTGGATCCATGAGTGGAGCTGGTCTGCTTTTCCTTTATTTGATTTTTTTTTTTTTTTTTTTTTTTTTAGCTCCCCMCCTCATCGTTACTCCTCCGCGCACATTTGGTGCTAATATTCATGAGCTGAGCAGTGAATGCCTACTCAAACTAGGACTTTTTCCACTCAGCTCTGGACGTCATTGTGGTCAGATACCCCACTTCGGGCCGTAATTGCAGTCGGATACATCCAGGAAAGCCCCCGTGTGAGCACGCGCGGAGGGCCGACGAGTGCTTGGATGCCTTGCCTGGGATTCTGCGCTTCTCTTGCCTTTCCTGCTTGCTCATCCGTTTCCTCATTTACCAACCAACCTGTAGTAATGATGGATCCATACATCTGGGCCGCATCAACCCTCCTCCGTGCATGCACGGATTCGAACCGGCGACCTCGGCCTCAAGAGCCATGTCTGTTAACCACTTACAGGCAAGACACGGTGTTCAGAAAGTGGAACCATACTACCGTAGTCGTGATATCCACACCACCCCTGCAATGGAACCATACTGGTCGTGATATCCACCCCACCACTGCAAGGGGACCAAACTGGTCGTGATATCCCACCCCACCCCTGCAAGAAGGCTGTGGTGTCCGGCCCGACACACGCCACACGGAACTCCAGGGACACGGCAGTTCACGGACACTTCGCGCTAATCAGTAGGCACCCCCCCCCCTTCTGATACATAGCCCGCTCACAACGCAAGCGCTTCGCAGGATCTCGCGAAGATTTCACTAGAATAAAATCAACATGGAAATGCATGGACGTAATATAATTTGGAAAAGAAAAAGACTGGAAGAGAACAAGGAGAGCTAAGCGTAAACGACAAAACGCCAGTAAGAAGATAAAAAAAAGAAGATAAAGAAAAGAAGGGTGATCAATAGAAAGAGAGAGAGAAAGAGAAAGAGATGTCATGCTGAAAAGAAGGAAGTTAAGGAGAGTGCGATACGCAAAGAAGGGCGAGGTACCTGCATGGGGCTGTTTTATTTCAATATTGCCCTCCAGCCCCCGCTGTTAAAGTATTTCGACAGGCCAATGGGCCGACCGCAGTTCAGGTGGTGAAGGCATAGAAGTTGCCATTCAGGAGGAGGTGGTGGGTTCGAATCCCACTACGCTCACGTACGTGCCTGGGCATGCTTGGTGCCTCACCATCTGGGAATAGTAGGTGGAATAGGTCACACTGGCCCCCCACGTCAGCATCAGCAGGACCGTTGTCAACATGGTTAGGTGGGGGCAACTCAACGCTGTTCTTAAGTAGACACGCCAATGTAGCAGGGGACGAGGCGGGGGAGGGGAGCGGAGGGGGGAGGTGGTGCAGCGGCTGATCGGAGTGCTCGGGGGGACTACCGGTAGCACTGCTGGCGTTCCCTCGCCCGCAATGCCGGTCTAGCCCCACGTCATCGTGTGGAGGGGCGGGTACAGCTTTGCTCTCGCACCACCACTGTGGTGCAAACCTATGGGGTAGGTTAGGGTTGGTCGGTGTTCCCTTCCCTGACGCACACCAATGCCATGGGCTAGGGAGAGGTTCGGGTCGGTGGATGTTGCCCCCGTAGAGTACATATATAGTAGAGAGATGAAGAGATGAAAACATGCAAAAGGTAAGTAGAGAGATGAAGAGATGAAAACATGGAAAAGGTCAGTGATGGTGAAGTTGGAGATGACGATGTCGACGTCCTGAGCACTCTGTGCAGATCATGAACCTCGCCACCTTGTCCGCCCAGATTCATTCGGACGGTGATTGCTGCGTCTCCTTTCCAAATCTCCGAATTGGCGTAGTGCTATTCCCCCTAGAAAGAACTGAGAAACGTTGTTCGCGAGGAACGAGGGAGACATAACGGTAGCGAAGACCCAGGAGGAAAAAAAGACCGAAAGAAGAAGAAGAAACGTAGTACGTCATACTAATACGTCCCCCTCACCTCCCCCTCCTCTCCCCACTTCCTTCTTTCCCCCCTTCCTCGGAACCCCTACCGTCTTCCCCCGAACATAACGCACCCTTAAAATGAATGTATACAAGTTCTATTTCCGGCCAGATACCGCCAAAATGAGGGTGCGTTGTGTTCGGGGGAACACGGTAGGACCCCTCGAAAAGGGGTGTCACATCGGTGTGTCGAGGAGGCATCCCTCAGTATGCCACGTCAGATTTTCTGCGATCGAAACTTGGTGCTAGGTAGTTTTTGTTTTGCAGAAAGTTTCTCAAGCTGTGAACAGGAGGATGCTCAAGGAGCGTGCATCGACCTAATCCCCTCCATCCTTCTCCCCGCGTTTGAAAGACGCCAGATGAGCCATTCTCCCTTTATTAAGCCATCCAATGATATGAGATAGCGGCGTAATATCGGGGATCTAATCATCTATCTAATTGATTGATTAGATTACTGAACCGTTACGGCATGATTAACGATGATTGACCAAGCATGCCACGTGGCATCTTATGGGTTTAGCGACGACTCGTCATCGCCTTGCCTTCCTTCCCCAGTCCTGCACTTAAGCGATTTGTCATTGGCCCCCCCCGCCCCTCCTCTTGCCATCTTTGTGTGTACAGCACTGTCTAAAAAAAAAAAAAGAAATAAGTAATTTTTTCCATGCATTCGGAGTATCCGTTATAAGGAATAGATCGGATCATTAATTGTCCCATTTTGAAGGGGAAAAAAAAAGAAAAAGAGCTCCGTTATGACTTCCTCGTGTACTGTTTTTTTTTTTTAACTCTTTTCCCAAGAATACCTTTATGGTATCCGGGCAGTAGCCCTGGTTACTTTTTCCCCTTTCTTTCTGCTCTGAATGGGATAATTCTGCTCCCTGGCCGCAATTTTATTGATCTATTTTTGTGCATATATAATAGCACGTCTATACCGGTAGTGGGTTCTTCGATACCGTCTGCTCTTACATTCTTAGGGCGTACTCACACTACCTTCTTCCCCCGAATAGAACGCACGGTCATTATTGACTGAAAGACACCCCAAATACAGCTATAATGACCGTACGTTGTATTCGGGGGAAGAAGGTAGCACTATCTAAAATGTATAGCA